GCTTGTCGGTTGTCTGTGAAACCTTGAACAATTCTGCCTGCATAGGGACCAGGGGAGGAGGTGGGGTAGGAAGTGGAGGGCAGGGGAGGAGCCTCTCCAATGCCCATCAGTCATCAACCCCTTTTCAGCACAAAAGGGCAGTGGGTTACAAGGAGGTGACACATTTCCTCCAGAAGTCCTAGCGAAGGCAGGAAGTGTGGGGATGATTCAGGAAGGGGTCATCTTCCTGTGCATGGATGGGCGGCTGCGGCTGCATTGAGCCCTTATTGCTAGGCTGTGAAGAACAGTATCTGATGATTTCTGCCGGTGTCTGTGCCGCCTCTCCCAGGTGGAAGTCCCTTGGGAATATGGGACCAGGTGGGTACAAATCTGGGCACCGCCTAGGCTTAGTGGAGAACGCACATGCTAAGATTGATGTTGGGCAATTAACTTGATTCCTTGACTACTTACGGCAGTAAAGAACATGGTAGCTTTTATTTCCTTAATACCCTAAGATTAGGTCTAACCATGGCATCAGAAAGGACTTAGACCTGCAGGGAAGTCCCATTTATATTATTTTCGATGTCTTAGCCAATTAAGAGGGACGTTTTATTGTGTTGATATAACACTGAGAACTAATAAGCCTTTTGAGGTTTGATTGCATTTTATATGGCTTGTCTAACATTAGATCAATGTCTTTTTAGCACAGAGATTAAGAGTATGAGCTGTGCCGCTAGATCACCTGGGTTCTGACCCTGACTCATTCACCACTCAATCTCGGGCAGGTTACTCAATTTCTCTGCCTCAGTTCTTTGTCCAGTTGATTTCCCACTTGAAGTTTTTGTCTCAATTAAATTGACTGATTTTTTTTGTTTATTTACTAAAGATAAAGCTCTCAGTATCTGGTATGTATTTTCCCAGTAAACATTAGTGTATCATAAATGATGTCATCAGAGCAACCAAAGTTTGAACAGGTTTGGTAGATACCAGGCAGTGTCACTGAACAAGGATTGGTGTTCCTTATTTGAGGAGGAGCACACTTTTTCTTAAAGGGGCAGACACTACACAGCTTATGTCCTTTGGACCTTACAGGCTCCGTTGCTCTAGTAAAGTCTTCATTGCATCTTGTAGGCAGCAGCTATGGACGGTATATAGATACGTGGACATAACTGTATCCCAGGCAACATTTGATTGACCCTAATAGGTGGCAGGCCATGTTTGGTTATGTACAGACCCTTGCCGTGGATAACTTTAATCATATCTGCTTCCATGGACACCGAGAGGGCTGGCTTTAGAACAGTCATGAATGTGTCCCTTGAAGGCGACACAGAAGTCTCTTATTTAAGGGGTTGGAGCATTTTCTTAGAGTTTGAACCTGGGTTGTGGAAAGGATCAGGGTTTGTTTTATTCAGTGGACACAGATGCACACTGTTCCTTCTATCATCCCCATATAGAGAGGGTTTGTGGGGCAAACAGAAACCGGTCTGTGATTGTGCGTGTTGGTACACTGCGGGTTTTTCTCTCAGGCTGTGTGTATGGGTGTGGATCTTTTATTTCTTATTTTTTAGTTTAATAACGAGCTCTTGTTTTTAAATTGAAGTTGCCAGTGGGCCTTTCTGTGAGGGGTTGACTGTGTTGCTGGGTTTGTATTTATAGTCTGGGTCTGTGTGTGAGGAAATGACCAAAGTCGAGTGCATTCCATTGAGACTACTCAACAAAGACCATCTTTGACTCAGGGAAACAGGGCCTGTGATGAAAACTCAAAAACCTAATGATTAGTGTTTATCAATGTTTCTATGTGTTCTGTCCTGCCTGGGCCAGATAATCAGAGCTTTGTGCTGAGGGCCAGATTAGATACTCCCTACCCCTCAATCCAGAGAGAACTCCTCTGGAGTGGGTTCAGGCAGCGCTTAACTTCCTTGTGGCCCCCTTTGCATTTTGAATGTTTTAAAGCGGGTATTGGAGAACATAAGTAGATTTTTCTTCTCTTATCAGAACCCTTACTGTGTGTCCAGCAGAGAGGTCGCCGGTGTGGCAGTGGGACCCAGGAAGTCACTGCTGTGGGAATCATTATGTCTTACTCTTTGTCACGGAGCTGGTTTTCCCATCCTGCAGTTCTGCGGTGTTGTGATGAAATGCTTGAGACTGGGTAGGTTATAAAGGAGAAGTCTTTCTAGGCTGGAACTAATATTTTCCCAGAAGGGATCCGCTAGAGATGGGGCTGTGGCTGTAGCTCAGTGTAGAGGGTTTGCCTGGCACGAGCCTGGTTGCGTTCCCCAGTACTGTTGTTTAGAAAGGAGAGAGAGGATTGGGGAGGTTAGGCTTTGTGTTTCAGTTTGCCGTGTGTGCTGGCTCATTGGGTTTTTCACACTGGTTGAAATGCTCAGTATTGTTTGGTTTCATTGCGCTTAACATTTATTGTGATTATTATTTGTATTGATTATCTCAGTCCTTTCATAAGCAACTCAGTGAGTCACTTTTAACCAAGTCGTGGGAGGGGATCTCTGTCTGTCTCTGTCTCTGTCTCTCTCTCTCTCTCTCTCTCTCTCTCTCTCCTATCTAACACAATTTTACATACTTCCCACTGTCACACATCCCCTGACTCCTGCCTCTGTTCTCAGAATCACCTTCCAGCTGTGTTTCCTAGAAGGTCACTCTGAAAGTGGTTTATGGGACTGGAGAGAAGTCTCCATGGGGAAAGTTCATCCTTCTGAAAGTGGTTTATGGGGCTGGAGAGAAGTCTCCATGGGGAAAGTTCATCCTTCTGAAAGTGGTTTATGGGGCTGGAGAGAAGTCTCCATGGGGAAAGTTCATCCTACTGTTGCAGAGGACTCCTTAGGTTCCCACAGCCCACATCGGGCCGCTCACAACCTCTTAGAACTCCAGCTGCAGGGAATCTAAATATTTTAAAAAGAGAAAATTGGTTATCAGTTCAATTTTCATTTTGGAGTGCAGCTTGATCTGAAAGCAAGGCTTGTCTTTATGAACACCACCAGTTGCTGAAAGTGTGCCTATGAAACTGATTTTAGGAAAAGCAAAACATACAGATGCTTTCTTGGTGTGACTTTGTAGGGTGTGAGAAACTCCTTAAAGATCGTCTACACCTCCATTCATGCCTAAAATGTCCTTGCCGGTGAAGCGTTCTGTGTCAGTGTTAAATACCTCTCCCTTTGGAGCTCTTATAGAGGAGGAGAAGAGAAAAGAGGAAATAAATACCTTCAGCTGGAGCTGGTCTTGGCTTGCCTGCTGGATTTGGCTCCAGAGGTAACTGTGTCAGTGCGTGTCTTGTTGGGGGTGTGTCATCCCCTGTACACACTAATGTGACGTTGCAGGACATTGAGCATCTTAACGTTTTTAGTTGATTAGTGTTTTATTTTCAGACAGGTTCTCACACAGCCCAGGGTGCCTGGATTTGTGAAGTAGTATAGGCTGGTGTTGAACTTGCGACCCTCTTGCTTCTGCTACTCAAAAGTGTTATGACTTTATAATCTTCAGTGTTGAGAATGCCACTTTGCATAAATGTATGAAATGAAACAGTGGAAGTGTGTTTAGTACTTTTTATGAAAAACTTGAAAATTGTGTTCTAATCCTGTCAAAATTTATTTTAACAGTCAAAAAAAAAAAAAACAAAAACGGAAAGCAAGCAATTCAAACAGAAATTAAAAAAAAAAACCCAACATTCTAACACAATACAATCTAGAAATACTAATTTGCTACTTATGTGCTGAGGAATAATGGGAAGAAGATATTAAATGTCTTTGTTTTTATAATTGAGTCATTATACTTCTACAAGAACAGAAACCTTTGTATGTACGATAAAAACTCTTCAGTTCATAACATACAATAGTCCTTTTAAACTTTAATCTTTGAAAGGAAACTTTTTAATGTGAAAGACAGTTGAACTACATCAACAAAACATTACACAGAGAAAGCCAGAAAAGAGGTGCTTGTGTTTCCAAACTGCTTTCTTGGCTTAAATTTATTCTTAATTTTTATTAAATAAATAAGCATGTGATTGATGGTAGAAGTGTAAAACCCCAAACTTCATGGCTTTGGAGTGACTGTTCTACCTCTGTAGAGGTTCACACATGTAGAGTATGGAGGTGGACATGCGTTTGAGGAACTTCCTTAAACAAGCTCTGTGTGTGTGTGTGTGTGCTAGTGAGAAGAGATTGATTTTATTAAAGACAATCTTGAATCTGAGCTGAGGTGTCTCAGTCCATGCTTACAGGTACTCCTTCATGTGAGGGCGTGTTTGGCACAAAGAACGAGCTATGTGTTTGTTGTCAAGGCTGAAGTCATATAACATGCATGAACTGAATGCCAGAAACATTCAGATTTGTTACATGTTTGAATTTGAATTGGTTTTTGGTCATCGTACGTTCTGAACCTTTTATTGCTGCCAAATTTTTCATGACTGTACACTCAGTTATGTGACCCCACATGGGGTGTGTTCTAAACAGCGCAGTGACAATTTACGCAATGTTTGCACAGTAATAAGCATTACAGAAACCTAGACATGATTTGGCGTATATAGAACGGCGAGTGTGGGCCATGCACAAGTTCTGGGTCTTTTTATATAAGGGCCTTGAGCATCCTGAGATTCTGGTCTCTAGCAGGGGGTCCTAGAACCAGTAGCTGGGCAGATATAGACTAATATATTATTATATTAGTATAATAATATAAATGTATTCTAAAGCTGTGATTCATGTATTTGCCCAGCAACTGCTCATAGAGCACCCACCATGAGCTGACTACTTTGGTGATAAATATTAATGACTATTTGGGGCTGTCCGTAGCTGGGGTACACAGAGTAGCAAGGAGCCACAGGAAGAGAAGGAGGTGCTGGATGTGAGAAAGGGATCAGGTGGAAGGCAGTCTTTCACAGATTTTTAATTTTTCATAACTCCTGTCATATTATGTTTATGTGCTTTGTTTATATAACAGTTTCCACCTAAGCCCCTTTTCCCACTGGGCTATGATTTGAAATTTGTTTTAACACGAATTTTATTTCTTTTCAGTACAGAACTTCTATGGACCAGTTTGCCAAGGGCGTGTAAGATTAGAAGAGCTGAGAAAAATCAGCGTTGAGCTCGTTTTTCTGTGAGTAGGCTTACCCCGTAGTCATTCATTTCTGACATCCTTATCCCTGTAGTTAGCGATCTACACATCCCATGCGAGAACTCCCAGCACACCCTCTCCTTACACACTTCTAACCGCTAAGAGCAGCCTGGCAGGCATGGGGCGTGTGCAGGCTTAGACATGCCGGTCTCTATCTGGTACTGAGCAGGAAAACACAGGCCTGGTAGCCCATCAAAGGCACCACCTTCTTCCTTCTCAGGTGCTTTGTTGCCTTTTGCCTTCACACCCTGTGTTGGCTTGTCCCCAGGAGTGAGGCTGCTTGACCCCTTGGTGACCCCGCAGGCCTAGGAATTGTTTGCTTGTGGCTCCCTGGCCTCCTTTCTCCCTGTTGGTGGTACGGTTGCTGAACTTCTGCGGGGTGGTCAGCATTTAATTGCCTTGTTCAGCTTATTCCATGAGTTCTTCTCCTGTGTTCTTACTTTATGCCAAGTACTGACCCTGCTGCCTTATCACCAGGTAGGCAGTGAGTAGTAGATATTCAGCGGCTGAGAGAAGGGGGCTGCTGAGGGTCAGAGCGCACTGTCAGTCATCCGGATGGTGGATGTGGTCACAGTACTGTCTGGCTTGGACTGCCGTGTCCTCAGTAGTGCTAGAGTGCTGTTCCTGTCATGGTGGTGGCAAGGCGCTGGTGTGCCAGGACGCTGGTGTGCCGGGACGCTGGTGTGCCGGGACGCTGGTGTGCCGGGACGCTGGTGTGCCGGGGCACTGGTGTGCCGGGATGCTGGTGTGCCGGGGCGCTGGTGTGCCGGGACGCTGGTGTGCCAGGACGCTGGCCAGGACGCTGGTGTGCCGGGACGCTGGTGTGCCGGGACGCTGGTGTGCCGGGACGCTGGTGTGCCGGGGCGCTGGTGTGCCAGGATGCTGGTGTGCCAGGGCACTGGTGTGCCGGGACGCTGGCCAGGACGCTGGTGTGCCAGGACGCTGGTGTGCCAGGACGCTGGTGTGCCGGGACGCTGGCCAGGACGCTGGTGTGCCAGGACGCTGGTGTGCCGGGACGCTGGTGTGCCGGGACGCTGGCCAGGATGCTGGTGTGCCAGGGCGCTGGTGTGCCGGGGCGCTGGTGTGCCGGGACGCTGGTGTGCCGGGACGCTGGTGTGCCGGGACGCTGGTGTGCCGGGACGCTGGTGTGCCGGGACGCTGGTGTGCCGGGACGCTGGCCAGGACGCTGGTGTGCCGGGACGCTGGCCAGGATGCTGGTGTGCCAGGGCGCTGGTGTGCCGGGGTGCTGGTGTGCCGGGACGCTGGTGTGCCAGGACGCTGGCACCTCCTGGGTTGTGATCCTAACAGAAATATGATTCTGATCCTTCTCAACCCTGACAGGAAGGAAGAGAGGGAGGGAGGGAGGGAGGAAGGAAGGAGAAACATTATTCCGTGTTAGAGTTAAGAGATGACTGTCCCTGAATCTCTGTGGCCTTGAGAAGCTGTACTACTAAGGGCTTGAAGTTTCACCCAGAGAGACCAGTGTGTTCACGGAACCAGTGTCACGGGTGAATCCATCTGAGTGAGCGGCATCTCCATTAACAGCTGCTGGTACCGCAGCTCTCCTGCCCTTGTGCTCCCAAGAATAGCTGTGTCCTGACTGCTGGTGTTTTTGTAGAGTTTGCTTGCCTTTAAAGTCCATGACTAGAAGCCTGCAGTATATATTCCTCTGTGTGTGGCTGGCTCATTCAGCTCAGTATGTACGTGAAAGTCTGTTATTCAAGTGGTTTACTTTCTTCATTCCTCGCCCTGGTGGTATCTAATTGTGTAGTTGCAGGGCACTTAGGTAGTCTTCAGTTCGTCTTTAATGCTGTGTATACATAGGACTTTCTAAAAATATTGAATTTTGTGTGTGTGAGTGCTTTTTCCTGCATGTATATCTGCATAATTTGAGATCCTGGTGCCTGAGGAGGTCAGAAGAGACCTGGACCTGGACATATAGATAGTTGTAAACCAACCTGTGGGTACTGGGAATCAAACCAGGGTCCCCTGGAGAAGCAGTCAAGGCTCTTAACTGCTGAACCATCTCTCCAGGCCCTTAGTTTTCATTTTGAGTTTGTGCATGTGTATGTGCGTGTGTGTGTACAGTGGCTATGGTGGTCGGAAGCGGGTGTTGGATCCTCCGGAGCTAGAAGTCCAAGCTGTTGTGAGCCTCGTGACATGGGTTCCGGGTACCCAACTCACGTCTTGGGCAAACTGCTAAGCTCTCTAGTGAGGTTGTGTGCTCATTCCAAACCCTCACAAGGTTGCGGAGACCATGGGCAGTCGTCTCTTAGCTCACTCTAACAGGGTCTGTCTAGGCCCCGTATTCACTTTTGACCTTCTGATAATTTCTATGTCTGTCTTTTGACATAGTGTGTTTTTTGTTCCTTCAGGGAACATTCAGCCATTTAGGTTCTGTGGAATGATGAGGAACAGACTAGACTTCTTTGGAAGCAGGGGTGTTGATTTTTTTTGTTGTTGTTGTTATGGCCAAGTGATCTGCATACTTCCCTGTGATGCTCTGACCTACTCGGCAGGAACAGATGTTTTCCTGGGTCCCCTCTGGTGCGCATGTGCTGTGGGAAGGCTGGTCCCTTGGCTCAGACTCATTTTGTTTCCTGGTACAGAAAGGGGTTGCAGAGGAGAAAAGAGCTTCCAGAGAGAGGTGGGTCTGGGCTACCCTGGAAACTGCCCCAACGCTTTGCACGCCAGATCTAGAGCCTGGGAAGGTGACATCCTGAAGGGACTGAGTGTGTAAGACCCAGTGAGTCGAGGGAGGTGAGCAGATGAAAACGGATGTGGTCTAGCTGGCTGGAGCTCAGAAGGAAAGAACAGTCTAAATCAGTCCACAGGGTCTGTTTTCTTGTCTTTAGAAAGCTTCGAAACACAGTCCCTAGAGTGTGAATTGTAAGCCAGGAAGTAACTGAATGAAATTACTGAACTAGGGAGTGGAGTGGTCATAAGCAGTGTGAGCTATTCCTTTGCTCTGAGGGGTTCTGTCTTTGGGTCACAGCTCTATTTCTTTCTTGCCCCCCATGACCCCTCGGTTGGCTTCTCGGCTGTAAAATGGGGGTGCTATCATGTCCCATAAATTTGCTGTTCAGTTTCGTGCAGAAGCGTTCTCAGGGCGAACACTGTCACCATGGTCATTATCCTTGCTGTGCCCCCACTCTTGTTACTAATATCATCTGTCTGACTGATGCAATGTAATCACTTTCATCTTTAAAAAAAATACATTATGAACACCCGATTGTGGCACACGCCTTTAATGCCAGCGCTTAGGCAAAGGCAAGCGGATTTCTGGGAGAGTTCGAGGACAACTAGATCTACAAAGTTCCAGGACAGCCAGGGCTACAGAGTGAGTTCTAGGACAGGTTCCAGAGCTGCAGAGAAACTCTGTCTCAAACAAACAAACAAACAAACAAATTCCGAGACTAAGCATGTGGAATGCTACCCGAAACCTCAAGCTGCAGAGAAACTCTGTCTCAAACAAACAAACAAACAAATTACGAGACTAAGCATGTGGAATGCTACCCGAAACCTCAAGCTGCAGAGTGATGTGGAGAAGCAATTGTCCCCGTGTCCTTGGTGTCACCCAACAGCCACTGTTGGAAACTTGTGTTGTTTGCTTGTGTCAGCTCCAGAGACCAGTGGAGCTGAATTCAGAGCGGGAAGGAAGGTCATTTTGCACATTGTGATTTAAGACATCACACTCTTAACTCTTGCTCGACATTTTATAGTGTCTTGATGGGTCAGGGTTATCCGAGGGTCTCAGAGAGTGACTGACTCCATAGACCACAGCCAGTCTGAGGTGTCTTTCCAGCCAGCCATAGTCTAGGGGTGTCCTCCTCTGTCAGAGCTGTAGCAGAGTTCATGATCTAACAAGCCAGCCTCGTGTGAGAAGGGAGCCTGTTGAGGTGCCTGAGTCAGAAAGAGCAGTGATTGTGAGCTTCCAACCCCAGCTGTCACATCTCCAGTGTATGGCTTCCATTTCTTCCTGTGTAGGAACCAAGAATTTGGGTTGAGACAGAAGCAGAGGCGGAGTATACGACCCCACTAAATGTGATATTGAGTTTTGTGTACACTTCTTTTTCTTGGTGGTAGCTTCTCTCCCGTACCTGTTCAGCATCAGAAGTCCTGGTCATAAGGGAGAGGGTGGTCTTATGTTGAAACTTGTGTTTGAGAGTAGAGAATAAGTGTCCAGACTGTAAGTGATACACGACTCGAGTGTGTAAATCCGTTTCACACTAATATTACTTTAGCCAACTCCAACATGTGTGATTGTTCTCTAAAGGGTGTGCATATTTTTGTCTGAACTAAACAATGGGAGTAAAAGTCCTTGCACAGCCATGCACGATGTGGTGAGATGATGGAAATTATACTTAGGTTTATGTAGTTATGTACTTATTTATCTAATGCCCAGAATGCATTCATTGGGGTGGTTCCTACTCTCGATTCAGGGTACTTTTAGTAGCTTCCTCCTGAAGGAACATCCTTCTGTAGGCTGACAGAAGACAGTGGAACACTTAACTCACAGGGCTACGATTTGTGCAAGGCTCACGGCCATAGTGACTTTATTGCATCTTGGGATTTTACATCCGTGAGGAAGGAATCAGGGCTCTTGTTTCCTTTCCTCTTTTGTTGAGGGATGAAGGAGGTCCTTGGTGAGAGGCTTATTTTCTGGGGGTCGTCATGGCTGGAAGGTTAATGTTTGTCTTTAAACTTTCAGTTCCCACATTGTAATTACACAGTTAATGTTCCATGTAAATGTTGGTTTGGTTTTGTTTAGATATTGAAGAAGTAAGTTTTTAAGAGCATCATTTGAAATACTAGCATTACCTGGTGCATGTCTTAATCCTAGCACTTGGTAGGCAGAGGCAGGTGAATCTCTGTGAGTTACTTAGTTTGGTTTACATAGCATGTTCCAGAATAGCCAGGGCTGCATAGAGCCACTCTGTCTCAGACAACAACTGATCCCCAAAATAAGATTAAATATTAGC